GGGGGGGGAGGGGGTGTTGTTGCTTCTAATCTCCCTATCTCATCCCATGCGATAGGTTGCCATCATTTCTCATTTCTCACCGCTTCTCGTAGATCTCCGAGGTCTCCACGAGAATATGCGAGATCTTCTCGTTGATCTTCTCCACCTCGGCTTGTAGACGAGTCTCCTCCTTCCGGTAGATCTCCCGGATAAAGATGGCGCTGTCGATCTTCTGCTGCAGCTCGCGGTTCTTGGCAAGTTGGAGGTGGAACTTGCCGCTAGACTGTGCGGGGTAGAGAGATGGGAGGGGGAGGGAGAATGGAGGCAGAGAGGGGGAGGGAGAGGGAGAGAGAAGGGGAGGGGAATGAGTAAAGAGAGTGGGGAAGGGGGTAGAGAGAGAGAGAGAGAGAGAGAGAGACAGAGACAGAGACAGAGACAGAGAAAGAGAGAGACAGAGAGTGGGTGATACAGAAGGGAGGGGATAGAATAGAGAGAGAGAAAAAGACACATAGAGAGAGAAAAATAGAGGGGAAAGAGGGAGGGAGGTATGAGAGAGAGAGAGGTTTACTATTCTATCCTCTTACTAACTCGCCCACTAGCTGACTCCACCCACTCATCCACTCACTCACCCACTCAAGTATTGACCCAGTGCTGTACACACTGACCTACTACCATTCTACCCACTCACTCACCCACTGTTGTACTCATTCACTCACCCACTCACCCACTAACCACCCACTGTTGTAGTACACTCATCCACTACTGTACTCCCTCACTCACCCACTCACCCACTCCCCCACTCACCCACTCCGCCACTCACCCACTCACTCACTCACCCACTCACTCACTCACCCTCACACCCACTCACCCACTCACCCACTGTAAATGCAGTACTCACTCACCCACTCACCTACTCATACACAGTAAATGCAGTACTCACCCAATCCCCCATTCACCCACCGTAAATGCAGTACTCACCCACTTACCCACTCACTCACACACTCACACACTCACACACTCACCCACTCACCCACAGTAAATGCAGTACTCACCCACTCTATACGGTTATACATTGTCCTAGGACAGGGAACTCTGGCCTTTGCCTGCTCCATCCTCCAACTCACCCACTCACACACTCACCCTCTCACCCACTCACACACTGTAAACGCAGTACTCACCCACTCCCCCACCCACTAACCGACTCACCCATTCCCCACTCACCCCTAGTAAACGCAGTACTCACCCACTCCCACACCCACTAACCGACTCACCCACTCCCTCACTCACCCACTGTAAATGCAGTACTCACGCACTCACACACAGTAAGTGCGGTACTCACCCACTCTATACGGTTATCCATTGTCTTAGGACAGGGAACTCTGGCCTTTGCCTGCTCCATGGTCATTTCGGTGGTCTTTCGCTTTGTGTCCCATGTCTCTCTTGTGAGGTTGTCCAGCTGGGGAGGGGGGAGGGAAAGGGGGGAGAAAGAGGGAGAGGGAGAGAGGATGAGAGAGAAGGGAGGAATAGAAGAGAGAGAGAGAGAGAGAGAGAGAGAGAGAGAGA